ATTTACATTTGAGGATGATTTATTATTTATGTTTTATGTGTATGAGTGTTTTGTCTGCATGTATGTAAGTGTACCACATGTGTACAATGCCTAAGGCAGTTAGAAGTGGGTGTCACATTTCAAGGAACTGGAGTTATGGGAAGTTGTTAGCTGCCATGTGGGTGGTGGTAACTGAACCTGGGTCTTCTGCAAGAGCAGCAAGTGCTCTTAACTGCTGAGCCATCTCTCCAGCCTCTTGTTACATTAAAAAAAATATTTTATTTTTTTAATTTTATGTATGTGAATGTATTGCCTGCATGCAGGTAAGTGTACCCATGCCGTGCAATGCCCTCAGAAGACAGAAGTGGCCATTGGATCCCCTGGAACTGTAGTTACAGACAGTTGTTAGCTGCTATGTGGGTTCTGGGATTCGAACTCGGGTCTTCTGTAAGAACAACCAGTGTTCTTAACTGCTGAGTCATCTCTCCAGTCTCTTATTACATTTTTATATAGTCACATAATACATTTGGATCACATTCACCTCTCCATCACTCTTTTGTCCTCCTTCCACCCCCACTGATCTCCTTCCTCTTTCCAACTAGGCCCCCTTCTACTTTTTTTGGTCCTTTTTTTTTTTTTCGTCTTTTTAAGACGGGGCCTCCCTGTAGCCCTAGCTGGCTTGGATTCGCTATGGAGACCAGACTCACAGAGATCTGCCTGCCTCTGCCTCCTGAGTGCTTGGATTAAAGGTGTGTGCCACCACACCCAGCTGAGGAGGGACTCTTATTTCAATGATGTAACCACTGGTAAGGTACTTACAATGTTCCTGTAAAAAAAAAAAAAAAAAAAAAAAAAAACCCTATCCATGCTCCTATAAGGAACCATAATGAAACCCACTGGGTCACACACACATAAAGATATCAAAATAGAGGCTGGGAGTGGTGGTGCACACCTTCAATCCCAGCACTCAGGAGGCAGAAGCAGGCAAATCTCTGTGAGTTCAAAGCCAGCCTGGTCTACAGAGTGAATTCCAGGCCATCTGGGGCTATAGGAAAATCCTGTCGAGAGAGAGAGAGAGAGAGACAGAGACAGAGACAGAGACAGAGACAGTGAGAGACCCCCTCCCCATCAACCACAAGGCGTTGATGGGCCTAATCTTGTGCAGGTAACCACAGATGCTATGAGTTCAAGAGTGAAACAGCCATGTCATGCCATCGTACCTGGACATCAGTGGTGCACACTACTACTCCCCCAACTTCCTCTCCTCTGTCTTTTATATCCTTCCACCCTTTCTTCCAATATGTTCCCTGAGCTTTGGAGGGGGTGAAATGATGTTCCATTTATGACTGGGCATTAAACAGTTGTTTATTCTTTGATTTGTTATGAATCTACACCACTAATCACTGCATAAAGAAGCATCTTTGACCAAAGCTGACAGCAGCAATGATCTGTGGGTTATTTAGAAGGCAATGTGATAGGCACATCATGCCCATTAGCAAAACAATAGCAGTAGTTTCCCCAATAGGGCTTATGACCTCCTCAGTCATGGGCTTTTGACCAGGTTTACAGTATCAGATGTGAATTCTCTCCTGTCCAGTGAGCACCAATTTCAACCAGAAAGTGATTGGTTACCCCCATAACAACCTGCCACTATTGCACCAGTGGGCTCCTCTTGGCTGGCGTTCTGTATGTTGCAGTTAGGTTCTAGAGCTGAGTAAGACAGCTATAACTATTTCCCTCAGCAGCATGAATAGCACCTTCCAGAACTATGATGTCTAGCCATCACAGAGGAAGTTTCTAGCTCACTTCCAGCTTGATTTCTCTATGTTCTGAGACCAAGGCATGTGACACTTTTGAAATAAGGTCTTAGTTGAACATGGTGGTGCATGCCTTTAGTCCCAGCACTCAGGAGTCAGAGTCAGGCAGATAGATCTCTGTGAGATTAAGGCTAGCCTGGTCTACATAGTGAGTGCCCGGCCATCTGGGAGACCCTGTCTCAAAAAACCAACTATATATAGGGTCTTACTATCTAGTTCTGATGGCAAGCAGACTGTTTCGAAGGCCTCAGGAGCTTCCCTGACCAACAGTTCATGGGGAGGTAACTCACCCTTGGCACTGGGATTTTTTAATAACCTATGGCTTTTGTTTTAGATTTTACATTTTGATTAGCTTATCAGATTTTTTTTTCTTATTTTGAGATAGAGTTTCATGTATCCTGCGCTGCCTTGGAATTCACTCTATAGCTGAGGATGACCTTGAACTCCTGATCTTCCTGCCTTTACCTCTCAAGTGCTGGGATTATAGGTGAATGCCACCGTACCTGGGCTTATGTGGTGCTGGGTATCAAACCCAGGGCTCTGTATATGCTACCAAACCGAGCTACAATCCCTAGCTCCCTTCTCATTTTTCAGACTGATACAACCTAAACAATTTAAGAGATTTTTATACTCACAATTGGCAAAGAACACATGTTGCTGACTACTTAGCTCCCTTTGACATACTTTGGCGATCCCGTCTGATTTTGGTTAGTATCACTTCGGAGAATGAACTTGGCTAAACTGGGAACTAGAGTCACGTTGAATAATGAGCAGGTTCCTCAGAACAGCTTTATATGCAACATTTGCACACTAAAAAGTAAGGCAGAGGCTGTCATGAGACCTGCAATCTATTCATAACTGTGTCTCTAATGCAAGAGAAAAGAAGGTCAAAATAATGCTATTAGGTGATTTTAAGATGCTGAATCATCTAATTAAAGCCTTGCTTTCTAAATTCCCACGTTCTAATTTCTTGGAGATCACAAATTCAACCTATTTAAGCATAGCTGGAAGAGGAAAACATAATCAGCCCTCCCAAACAGTAGACCCACTATCTTCCAAGAATAGGCTGTAAGATTCAAAAGCTATGTCTTGGTCTTCCTAATGTTTAAGAATGCAACATTGATGAGTGAATAGATATAGTCTGGGGAGAAAAGGGTAAATACAGAAGCTTACTGAGTACATCTAGCTTGGACTTATTTCTTTCACAGCTCAGTTCCTTTTTTTAAAAAAATTTTATTTCTCTTTTTTTATGTGTATGCATGTATTGCCTGCATGTAGGTAAGTGCACCTGTGTCATGTCCAGCAATGCCCGAGGAGGTCAGAAGAGGCTGTCGGTCAGAAGAGGCTGTCAGATCCCCTGGGACTGGAGTTACAGACAGTTAGCTGCCATGTTGGTGCTGGGATTCAAACCTGGGTCTTCTGCAAGAATAACCAGTGTTCTTAACTGCTGAGCCATCTCTCCAGCCCCACAGCTCAGTTCCTTTTACTTAACATTCTTTTCTTTCTTTCTTTCTTCTTCTTCTTCTTTTTTTTTTTTTTTAGGTCTTTTTGAGTCAGGGTCTCCCTGTAGCCCCAGCTGTCCTGGAACTCACTATGTAGATATGTAGACCAGGCTGGCCTTGAACTCATAGAGATCTGCCTGCCTCTGCCTCCCAAGTGCTGGGATTAAAGGCCTGCGCCACCACACCCAGCTCTTAACATTATTTTCCCATATAATAACTCTTCAAAATAAATTTTTCTGAGGCTGGAGAGATGGTCAGTGGTTAAGAGTGCTTGCTGCTCTTGCAGAGGAGCTGGGTTTGGTTCCCATCACTAAAATCTCAGTTTACAACTGTCTGTAACTCTACTTCCAGGGGATCTGATGCCCTCTTCTGACCTCCGCAGGCACTGCAGGACACGGGTGCACCCACCTACATGTGAGCTATACACTCATACACAAAAAATGAAAAAAAATAAAAAAGTAGTTTTTCTTTAAAAACATTTTTGCAGGAAAATAAGCAGTAAATTTTCTCAGGAGAAAATTTAGAAGTTACTAAATAGCAAAAGAAATTCTCAATAATCTCACCCTGTAGAGACAGTATCAGTAACTTTGAGGAATGTATCCTTCCAATGTTTTTTGTCTTAAAAAAAATTAAAAGCTAGTCCTGGTTGTGCACACCTTTAATCCCCACTTCAGCTACATAGTGAATCTGAGGTCAGCCTGGATCATATGAGATGGTCTATAAACAAAACCTCATTAAAACAGCAACAACAAATAAAACAAACAGGTATTTGCCTTCAAAAGCTGATTATGCTGGTTTTTTTTTTTTTTTTTTTTTTTTTTTTTTTTTTTTTAAAAAAACTCCCTGTAGCCCCAGCTGACCTGGAACTCACTATGTAGACCAGGCTGGCCTTGAACTCACAGAGATCCACCTGCCTCTACTCCCAAATGCTAGGATTAAAAGCGTGCACCACCACGCCCAGCTTTACGCTTTCTCTTTATAGAAGTATTTTCCATGATTAAATATTTTTTTTTGTTAGAACAACTCAGCAAAATAAAATTCCAGTTTATTGTTGGACATTGTTTCACACATACACGAAACAGGCCAAAAAACCCCAGCAACTTCATAGACAAAAAAAGGAAAAAAAAGAAACCTTTTATCTTTGGCCTTTTTAACCATCTCATACAAACCACTACTTATAGTACAGCTAGTACATACACCAAAAAAGGTACTGGAATGCTTGGAATAAGATTGTTTTTTTGTTGTTGTTTTTGTTTTTTGTTTTTTTACAAGTTTTTTTTTTTTTTTCTTCCTTTGAGATTATAATGAACATGGTCACACCACAAGTAAAGTCAGAAGTAGGACAGAGAACGCTCTGAAGGCTGGTTTGGTCACCCGTTATCATGAAAAATGGCTGACCCCTAACAATATGTACAAAAATATAAAATGTAAATAAAAAATGCAAACAAATTCTCCTTTTCAAAGTACTTTTAAGAAAAAAAGCAGGGCCTCGGAAGTTTTGTTTTTTTCCTCCCCTGTGGCAAATTTGTTGTGGTTTTGGTGGGGTGGTGGAGAGCGCATGTCATCTGCGGTGGCACTGCCGGCTGTGAGCGGGCTGGCCTGCCTCTCTACTCGAAGGTGACCACGTTTAGATTCTGAGACGGGAAGTGGAGGGTGAATAGGTCAAGGTGGCCCTCGACGTTTAACTTTTCCTTTTTGTTGTCTAGTCATCCTCATCGGTCTTCGGCTTCTTGGTATCAACATCATCATCTTCATCATCTTCAGCTGTCCGCTCGCACCGCCCTGCCTCGGTCCCCTCATCTTCATCTCCGTCCTCTTCCTCTTCCTCCCCACCTTCTTCCTCTTCTTCATCTACTTCATTGTCAGCCTCCTGTTCCCCATTTTCATTAGCGTTCCCATTGGCAGGTGCGTCTCTTCCATCCTCTGCCTCCTCCACAATTTCCTTCTTCTCTTTCAAGTCCTTGGTGGTGATCTCGGAGCCGGTGTCCACGGCTGCATCTGACGTGGTGGAGCAGGCGGAGACCCGACGCAGCGGGAGGAGGAGAGTGCGAGGACTGGTGGACTCTGGCGCGAAAGCTGCTGGAGTCCGCGGAGGAGGAGGCGGCAGGCGGTGAGGGTGGCTGCAGGGAGCACAGAGCCGGCCCAGGAACAATGCAAAGATGGCTTTTCTGAGCAGCCAGTTAGACAGTTTTTTTTTTTTTTTTTTTTTTTTTTTGAGACAGGGTCTCTCTGCAGCTCCAGTTGGCATAGAACTCAGATATGCCTGCTGGGACTAAAGGCGTGAGCCACCACCAGAATATTTTGCCTTTTAATTGTCCGTGACACATCAATTAACTAACCATTACTATGTTGAACATTGTTACTTCTAACTTTTCTTTTACAAAGCTGTAATAAATATTGTTGCTTTGTAAGTTTTCGTTAGATCTCTAAAACCAAATTAATTGGTCAAAGGCTATGAATATTTCTTTGACTTTTTAATTATGTGTGTATGTATACATGTGTCTGGGTACCTGAAGAGGCCAGAAGAGGGATCCGATCCGAGCTGGAGTTACAGGAGGTTGTAAGCTGCCCAACATGGGTGCTGGGAACTGAACGTTCTTTCCAAGAGCAGCACACACGAAACTGAACCAGCTCTCCAGCCCTGCTATGAATACTTTTGAAGTTCTTCATATTGTCACAGGACTTTCAGAAACTTACTCTCATTAGTGCGTGGCAGTCCCAAAATCTTACTATAAAGTTAATTTGATGTTAAAATTATTCTCTTATGCCATTATTCCTTTGCAATTTATGAATGATTAAATTCTTAATACTCCCTTACTATTTATCAGGATCTTCTTTTACTTATGTAAGATTGCACACATTGTCAGTTAGCTATTTCATACTGTAAATTATCTTATAATCAGATATTAGCAAGGGAATTAATGTTGCCCACGTTCATTACTCCGAGGATTAAAAATTACTTCAGAATGTTCTTGGGGCTTTACTTACAGCCCAGGGCACAGATAAATCATGGCTTCCCCTACAGCTTGCTTCCAGCTATCTGCAGTGCTGCATTTACACTCTGTTCTCTCAATTACCTTTGAATCTTGCCTTGTGAGAATGTAAGGGGTTCCCCCACCGCCCCCACCCTCACGCTAGTATCAGTCACCTAATGCAATAGGGCTACCTATGAAGACCTTAGGTTCCAGCATGGAAGAGTAAGTCTTCCCATTACATACTGTTTTCTGAGGTAGCATCTCCCTGTAGCCCCAGCTGGCCGGGAACTCACTACATAGACCAGCCTGGTTATGCGCTCAAGAGATCTGCTTGCCTCTGCCTCACAAGTGCTGGGATTAAAGGCATGTGCCACTAGGCCCAGCTTCTATTGATTACTCTTAACAATTACACCCTGTATAACTGCTCTGTGATCCACTAGCTGTGTCATCTTGAGCAAAAGTAATGTCAATTTTCCCATCCTTCCACCATTTTTCACTAGTTTGCTGAATCTATTTGATCATTAAAAAAAATTATTTTTATGTGTATGAGTGTTTTGCCTCCATGTATGTTAAGTGCAATGCCTGTGGAGGCCAGAAGAGGGCACTGGATCCCCTGAAACTGGAATTATGGACAGTTGTCAGCCACCATGTATATACTGGGAACAGAACCCAGGTCCTAAAGAGCAGCCAGTGCTCTTAGCTGGCTCTTAGCCCCCTTACCTCAATCATTTTAAGAGTCAAAATGATACTCGATTTTGAAATTAAACTTGCTGTTTGAGGTCTCAGAGTTAGCCCAACCTGGCCTAAACTCATGATTCTCCTGCTTGACACTCTTAAGTGCTGGGATTATGGGGCATGTGCTGCCAAATCTAGCAGTTATTCTTTGAGATGTAACAAAGCCAAAGAAAATATGGACCGTGAGAGCAGCTAAATGCCTAATGGAGCATCCCAAGCCTCTGGTACTGCTCCAACATCAAGAGGTTTGCTAGTGAATCCAAGCATGATAGAATCACATTAGAAACAAGGACAAGAAATTACAAATGCAAGCACACATCTTCAAGTATACAATTTGTTTATTTACAATACCCTATAAAAATGTAAATTTAGAAACCTTTATTTTTATTAATTAGAACTGAACAGAAAGATAAAGCACAGTAAGGAAGAAATCAAGTGTTCACTTGGTCAGGTGTGAAGGGAGGGGAGGAAGGCGCAGTGGACAGTCAGCAGTTGGTGGAGGGAAGGTAGGGACTGCCACAGGTGCGCAGCTGGTGGAGCCTGAAGCTGCAGAGTGAGAAGTGGAGGTGAGAACAGGGACAGCTGGTCGTAATGGAGGGCTTCACTGTTGTACAATACATGGATGTGCAAAATGTTTATTCTCTTTAAATATCAGCCTGTCCCCCCTGACTACATTCAAAAGGTGAGAACAGCAGACATGATCAGGATGGTAAATAAAATTAATTCAATTTCGTTTTTCAGGACTGTAATCATGAGGGATTAAAGCCCCTTATTCTGGTTGATTGCCAGAGGGAAGAAAGGTAAATGATTAAGATTGTGGCAGGCTATCCCTGCTAAGATTCAAACCAAGGCCCGTGGCTGCCTGTGGATGAGGCTCAGGTGAGACTCAGCAGCCAGGACAGTTTTGTTGTGGGTGAAGGAGAGGGATGAGTGGGGCGGCCCAAACTCAGTGGCCATGGCTGTATTTGGAGGTTTCTATCAGGACAGTGGCAAGCAGCAGCAGCATGGCTTACAGACGTCAGGTCAGGAAGACGGTGTGAGTATGCAACAGGCGACACTGCAGAAGCAGGCTGGAAGTAAGGGTCATCTTGGGTACTCCTGAATGCACCTGAGCGGACAGGCTCAAGTGCGCTGTAGTAGCAGGAAGAAAGAAGGCTTAACCGTGTGTGCTGTTTCCATTAAGGTTGACAGGAACAAAGGAAATACAGATGGGAGGAAAAGACTTCTCAGCCTAGAGCTGGGCGTCAGCCAATTAAGAATTTTGATTTCATTTAATATGCTGTATACCCTGTATTTATATATTAAAAAGTAGAACCCACCAAATTAATTCCAAGATGGAACAGAAACAGACTAAAAATGTATCAGCTGATTTGTATTTAGAGGTATATGTCAACTAAATAGTTTTCAATCTAAAACTCATTCTTTAAAGACCCTCTGGAGACCACATAAATGTGTAGGGATGTGTGTATATTTACCTATATCTCAATTTCTACTAATTTTGGGTCTCCTATAGTCATATTAATAAGGGATGATGAAGAGACTTCAGTAGGGTAAGGGCAGGACTCCTTTGGCAGGCTACAACCTAGGGGAACTATAGCAGTGGCAATGGGATAAGGGAGATGTTATACTTGTGTGTCTAGGGCAAAGGAAATGCAAAACTGAGAAGAACTGAGTGAAAGGACATGCAGAAGTGGAACACAGAAGGTAAAGACCAGCAGAAGCATCACCAGCCAGATTTCAGAGCAGTGGGGAGACACCTGGCATTTAGAGACAACCCTGTAAACAGGAATTCATCCCACAAGGCTTTGCTTTGGGGCATAAGCTACCTTCCCTCCCTCATTAACAATACCCCATAGGTGCTGGCAGCAGTGCAGGTGGCAGCCAAGAGGACACTGGAGATCACTGGAGATCTTTTATCGTATCCCCTGAACCAGCCTGAGGGTACAAAGAAAAAGGACACTTGTTTGTACAAATAACTTAAAACAGTCAATCTTTGCATTCAAATTACATCTTTACAAATTCTCCTAATCAAACTGGTAAAAGAAAGGAGCCAGGAGCTCCTCCCAAGCCCATGTGACCCCTGAGGAACACATCCTCAAATGACCTTAAGTGTAAAAATAAATTGATTTATTTGGGCCAACTGTATGGTCTTAAACAACCAAAAGGAAAGTATAACCAAAGATTAAAGTATGAGTCTGTTTCTAATAAGACAATGCTACTCAGATGTAAGACTTCAAATCTTCAGAAAGTGCTTCTCAGATGTAAGACTTCAAATTTTGGTCTCTAATACTGTAGTGCCCACCTATAGCTAAGGGATACAACCAGGTATTCTTCTAAAATGATGGATAAATTTGTTTTCTCCCTCTATCTAGAAGAGGAACTGACATTGATTCTAACCACTCCAACAGCTATCAAAATACCTGAAAACGAGTCCTGAATTCATCACTCTAGAGTCCAGCCTTGGAAAACAAAAGAAAAATGAGGAGGAACCCAATACAGGGATGCTTTCGGAAGCCCTTGTCAAGAAATTCCAATGGACTCTCATATGATGAAAGAGTACATGAAGTTATCAGAAAAAAGTGATGGGGAGATATGGGGGAGTTGGAGAGGAGGGAGTGGGCACTAATATATCAAAACACCTTATATGCATGTATGAAATTCTAAATAAATTATTTAAAAAAAAAAAAAAAGAATTCTAGTCAAATGTGCTACATGTGTTCTCTTAGCAGCTGTCCCCTCCAGGAGCTCCTGTTAAACCCAGCATAGTGCTTTGTTTCAGCACATACACACATTCAACACGTCTCAACCTTCTTCCAGGCCAGCTTTGTACCTCTGCCCTCTGTAACTTCTAAAATACCAATGTAGGGAAACATGTTTAAAACTTACTGTAGTTTTGTCTCCAGCAAGTTCAGTTTTTGCCGGTCAACATAGCGAGAAAAAAGGGACACTAGATTTGTGGGTATAGAGATTGGCTTGGCCAGGGCTGCTTGAGGGATCCGGAGAAGTTCTCTGGTTGCCATGAACATCACCTCTGTCCTGGTAGGAAAAACCCCAAAACAATATGAGGATAGGAAGGGAGAAAATAGAGTAAACATTTCTTAAAAGATTTTTTTTTGGTCTTTTTGAGACAGGGTCTCCCTGTAGCCCCAGCTATATAGACCAGGCTGGCCTCAAACTCACAAGAGACCCACCTGCCTCTGCCTCCCAAGTGCTAGGACTAAAGGCATGTGTCACCACGCCCAGCTCCCTAAAATAATTTTAAAAAGAGATAATACTGACCACTGGTTATTTTGCGTTGATTCTGTCGTAGGGTCTGAACTCTGCAGGTCTTCTCCACGGCTCAGGAGGATAAGGAGCAGTGACAAGCCAAACTACAAGAAGAACCAGATGGAATCAAATTCAACTATGCATGGAACTTCCTGCAACTCAGGTGTTGGGACCCTGACACTGGATGGGAACGGCTTGAAACCGTATGGCCTTATGGGAAGCCAGGTGGAGGTTGGGCAAGCCTGAGCCCAGAGCTGTGGCTTTCTGTAATTTTACTTCTGGTATAGCAGAGACTAAGCACAGAAAGGTACAGAGTCCAGATTCCTCTCTGCCCCACTGTGAGGTGAAAAGACCTTTTCCCTGCCATGGATAATCTGTGATTTGGCCTTCTACTTATAAGAACTAAAACGGATTAAAAAGTTCATGGAAATTAAGAAAAAAAAAATTTAAAGTAAGGTTGTTTAGTAAAGAAAAAAGATATTATTTTTGGTCTTTTTGAGACAGGGTCTCCCTGTAGCCCCAGCTGGCCTGGAACTCACTATGAAGACCAGGCTGGCCTTGAATTTAGAGATCTGCCTGCCTCTGCCTTCCAAGTGTTGGGATTAAAGGCGTGTACCACTATGCCTGGCAGATATCAAGAATCATACAGCATGCAGCATGCAAAAGGCCCTGGGTTTGATCCTCATCATCATATAAATCAGGTGCTGCTGATGAGGTATGCCTGTAATCCCAGGACTCCTGAGGCAGAAGTTCAAGGTCATCCTTGGCTATACAAGGAGTTAGGGGCCAGTCAAAGATACACAAACTGCCTCAAAATGAAACAAACGAAAGCAAAAATAGAAAACTTAAGAGAAATACATATAGGGGAAACAAAATTTCTTTAAAAAGCATCTTCCTGGGCTGGGGAGCGGGCTTAGCTGGTAAAGTGCTGGTTGTGCAAGAGTTAAGGACCTGAGCCTAGAGCCCCAGGAATCGAGCTAAAAGCTGGCTGTGGTGGCATGCACCTGCAACCCCAGCGCTAGAAGCTGAGAATGGTGGATGGGGAATGGAGACAGGCAAATAGATCCCTGATGTACACTGGCCACCTAGTGAGCTTCAGCTCTGGTGAGAGAACTTGTTTAAAGGTAAGAGGCTGGAGAGATGGTCACTATGTAGACCAAGCAGACCTCAGCAGCACTGGCTGCTCTTGCAAAGGACTGAGCACCCACATGGCAGCTAACAACTGTCCATCACTTCAGTTCCAGGGGATCTAATGCCCTCTTCTGGCCTCCATGGGCACTATATGATATGGGTGTACCTGTACACATGCAGGCAAAACATTCATCATACACATAAAATAAAAACAACAACAAAGCTCAAAACCCCAAAACTAAAGGTGAAAAGTGATCAAGGAAAGACACCCAAAGTCAACCTTGGTCTGCACACAAGCACAAGCACCCACATACACACCAACACTAACAAGTACATATACCGAACACACTCATAGGAGTATGCTATCTGAAATAGCTTATAAAGGATGTTAATAGAAGTCTAAAAAATTCAGCAACATGTACTCTGAAGGGGCATTAAATGAAAATACAAACAGCACTAGGTTAAATGTAGGAGTCATATCTATAATAAATGGATCACAAAGGATGCTGGCAATATTTTGGAATTCCATCCTACCTCCTGAGTTTACATTACAGAGGGTAACTTCCCCATTCCATAACATTTCTCTTCATGTCATTTACAGGGAAAAAATTCACTAGGCTACATATTTTGTATGTATGACTTCCCAATTTTCTACTGCTGCTACCAAATAACAGGAAGGCCTACCACCTGTATCCTGAGGCACTGTTACTTTCCTGCCTCAGATGTCCTGTTTTGAGTCATTCTTAGCAGGTCAAGGGGAAAAGTCTTGTGACTTCTTCACCTCTATTGTACAGAGTGGCCCTAAATGAGTGCCTAATACATGTCAGGCATCATCTAAATATCAGGACAAGTGTGTTTTCGAAGACAATCTCACTCTTACATCACAGATTGGCAAACTGACTGAGCAAACGATAGCTAGGATCACAGAGCTAAGAAATAGCAGGAGGCACTGAAACCTGGTCTATCAGGACACACATGTTCTTCTCTCCTTATTTTGCTTCCTTTATGAGTCTTTGGATCTTTATTCTATTTAATTAATTTATTTTGGAGATAGGGTCTCCCTATGTTATCCTGGCCAGCCATGAACTCAGATCTGCCTTGCTTCCATCTCCCTAGTGTCAGGATTAAAGGCGTGTACTACCATGCCTGGCCCTAGTCTCTGGATCTTTAACCTGACAACTGAAGGCTGTAGGGAGCCTTCCCTGCAGTCAGGTGTGCCCACATGACTAGGTGTGCCCACGTGACTAAGTGATTAAGTGGAAGTTGGTTAGAACTCCTGGAAAGGGTCCTGATAGGACAGGTAGTGAATCCACACCTTTCTCTTTTATACCCACACCTTGTCTTCATGTCAGGTTTAGTCTTCCATAATCATCTAGCACCATGAATGATCATGAATGTGCAAAGCTACAACTAAGGGTGACAGACAAGAAAAACGTTAAGACTGGATCCTTGATGCCCCTGGAGCCAGCATACTACATTTATATTTCAGACAAAATTCATAAAACCCTATTTTCTCAAAGCCATTGTTTATCCTAGCTTTATATAATTCCTGAGTGGAAGAAAGCTTTCTTATGCAAGCTACCACAGCTACAGTGGCCATTATTTTTTTATTTTAATTCATTATTTTGAGACAGGGTCTTACTATGCAGCCCTGGCTGGCCTGGAACTCACTATGCAGACCAAGCAGACCTCAAACTGCAATCTGCCTATCTCTGCCTCCCAAGGGCTGAGATTAAAGGTGTGCACCACGAATCCTGGCCCATTGTTTTCTGTGTCAATTTAGATGCCTCATGGTTTAGGGACACAACAGGACAAGACCACCTTGTTCTGCAGCACAGCAGTGAGGGGAGGGCTGGAGGGCGCTGGTGCAGCTGCACTCTGAGGTAGGTTCATTAGCTGCCGCAGAAGGCTGGTGACAGTCACTGATGGAAGATGATAGAGGAGGAGAGAGAAGGGACTCAGCAAGCATGGCAGCACCTACAAAACACGAATATGAACATTGCATCCTGTCAGCTCTTCCCTTCACTTACATGGATGGCAGGACATTCAGTTGTAATGGAGAGGCAGGATAAATGCTTGGCTCTGTTGGCTTTTAGGTTGAGCTGCTGGCCTAGCAATCACTAGAAATATTTGATACATTAAAAAAAATTGCTTTTATTTGTATGAGTGTTTTCTTGCATGTACCTGTGCACGCAATGCCCGTAGAGGCAACAAGAGGGTGTCAGATTATTAAGAACTGGAGTCATGCATGGTTATCAGCCACCACACTGGTGCTGGGATCCAAACCAGGGTCCTCTGCAAGAGCAGCCAGTACTCTTAACTCCAGTACTCTTAACTGGAGCCACCTCTCCAGCCCAATGGATACATTCTTACTATCATTATGAGCTTTATTAAAGCTATTTCAGTCTACTGTTTTATTTTCTTTCTGATGTTAGTGACATGATCTATTACTACTTAATTTAAACACACACACACACAACACACACACACACACACAGACAATTCCATAAATGCGTATTTCAGGCTAGCCTCAAACTTGTAGCAATTCTCATGCCGTAGCTTCTTAGCATGGGGCATACAGGGGTGAGTTACAGGCTCAGCTTTTGTCTGTATTTACCAGTTTTCTCCACTAGTAGGTAAGCTCCACGAAGGCCTACATTTTTGCATTCTGAGCTTTATTTCTAGGATGTAAAATGCTGTCTGGTAGGTTCACTCTACCACGTGAATAAACATTCCTAAACGTGCTTCCCTTGTTGAGTTCCATGAGTTTATGAGTTACAAGATGCCTGCTGTCTCACTCCTTGCTTGTAATGTAGTCTGAATAGGTCTAACTTTTTATTCTGGCCTTCCATTTTCTAGAATAAACCTCAAGTCTTTAAAATTTTCCTCCAAGCCGTTTTTCATTCTTGGAATCTCTTCTAGTTGAACTGGCTTCCACCAGCTGCTTTTTTCTAATGGTAAGACCTAAACTATGTTCATTCACAGATCTTAGATCTCAAAGGTCCACAGGACTCCAGCTTTCACATTTTGAGGTACATGGCCATGTTTACTACACATGAATTACCCAGTCGGTGGTCAACTACCACAGGTGCACTCACATCTTATTCGGAATTTTACACTGCCTAACATGAATTCTCTGTCCTGCCTTTATCAATTTGTTTTGAACTTGAAAAAAAACTTTTCAAAATTTTGCTTATCTTTGAAGTGCCATTTCGAGGATGAGCAGAGAACTTTTAATAAAGAATTGACTTGTAAAGTTAATATTACTATTTCCAATCTTAGCCTAGTTTAAATCATGAGAAAACTTTTAAAACCGCTGGTCTGACTCCCATGGGACACAATTCAGCCAAGCCTAACACTAATGTTAAATTACTGACAACAGAAGAATGAAGGATATTTTATATCCAGGAAAGTAACCAAGATGAGAAACTTTCAAACTTCAGCAAACTATGAGCAGAGATACCCCCCACATGGTGGATACCTCATCTTGTGCATCCTTCTTGATAAGGAAAGGGAGGTTCCTGGCAGTTGTCATGAGAATATCAGCTGCTTGCTCTGTGGAGAGGAAAGGGAGAATGCGGGCAACCATTCTCTTCCCTTTTCTGATACACATGATCTGTATAAAGTGGTCATCGCTTGGCCTGCAAGGAGAAAAATGCCAACTAATGTCAAGGGCAATGCAGAAAACCTATAAGCTTTTCTTTCAGATAAATGACTATGTAGCATTCATCTCTACCAGTAGTACCAAACAGGGAGAATTATTTCTTCAATTCTAACCAAATAATAAAAAGCTAAGTTTCACAAATGTAGAAAGTCATCATTTCACATACTATATGTTATAAATGTTATCAAACTACATGCATGATTTCTACTAGCAATTTTTTTTTTTTGGTCTTTTTGAGAAAGGATCTCTCTGTAGCCCCAGCTGGTCTGGAACTCACTATGTAGACCAGAGCGGTCTCAAACTCACAGAGATCCACCTGCCTCTGCCTCCCAAGTGCTGGGATTAAAGGCATGCGCCACCATACCTGGCTTCTATTAGTAATTTTTAAGTAACTAAACATCACATGGTCAGGCACAGTATCTGAAAAAAACACAGAAGTAAAAAAATAAAATGTCTCAGGGTTAATTTATAAGTATTAACAGTTTCAAGAATCTTTTTGCTATGTCTTATTTTTTTCTTTCATTAAAAAAAAATGGAACCATGAATTTTTAAAATTTTCCTTTTTGAGACAGGGTCTCATGCAGACCAGGCTGGTTTTGAAATATGTAGCTGAGGATGACCTTCAACTTCTGATCCTCCTGCTTCCACCTCCCAAGTGCTGGGATTAGAGGGATATACCACCCCACCCAGTTTATGTGATGATGCATATCAAATCTATGTTAGTAATCATGTGTCAAGCAAGAAAGTACTAGTGGAGCTACATCCCCAGCCCCAGGGGCACACAGAATAGAATGTATACAGTTTGGTAACTTGACATTTTTCACTTAACTTTTTTACAGAGTGGGAGAAGAAATTCAGGCCTTATGCATGCTAAGCAATCAGTTAACTTCTAAAAATAATTTCCCATGTCAATAAATGTACTTCAACCATATACATTTTAATGGCTAGTGTGTCCTAAGCTGCTTGTTTCCTCTGAGGGGCGGGGCCTGCTGCAGAGAATTGACTGTGGAGCCTTAGCTGTGGAGGGAGGGGCTTTTCTGAGCCATCTTGGACAGAAGATTCCTTGGATCAAATGGCCTGGCATTTACTGACCTGGGGTGAGATTGTGGGCCCATGAGGCATGGGCAAAAGCTAACGGTGACTATGGGCGGGCTGTGGAAGCGATCTGGAATGGCAGGCTCTGAGCCACAGCGTAGAGCTGGGCCCTGGGTGTTTGTGAGTCACTTCCCTTCCTCCCCCCAATGGTATAAACTATAATAAATTCACATAAAGATATGTTATATGGTTTGTCTGATAGCGCCTGGAGCAAGAGACCCTGAAGAGACTGAGGGCAGGTCAGAGTGGGAAGGAGAAAATTTAGTGGGACAGCTTTGTAACATGCCTATCTATGGACAAGCCATACCTATCAGACCAGTTCTCTGTCAGCTCAATCCTATGAAAGATATGTTAAAAATAAGTTATTTCTTATGTTTGTGTAAATTCTGGCTTAGGAGAATCAACAACTCTCGACTAAGAAAAGGGAAAGAACATTGTTAGGACATGTAGAGTGATGCTGAGGTCACAAGTTAACTTGAGGGAAGTCAATTATCTGGGATTTACAGAACACTTAGCACTATCAGGTTGTGTTTTGGATGAGTGGAAGGGAAATGGTACAGAAAAAAAATGGTAAAAGGCCGGGCACAGTGGTACACACCTTTAAATACAGCACTTGGGAGGCAGAGGCAGGTGGCTCTCTGTGAGTTAGAGACCAGCCTGGTCTATACAAGCTAATCAGGGTTATACAGAGCGAGATCCTGTCTAACAACAACAACAACAGCAACAGCAACAACAACAGCAGCAGCAGCAGCAGCAGCAACAACAACAACAAATCATCAACAACAAAACCAGTTAAAATTCTTGCTGGAAGATGGACTGGTGTCCCTATATACACTCTATGGAAATCCCAAAGAAGAAAAAATGTTGAATGTCTTCATCTTATAAGGAAAGTAAATAAAGGTTACAAGGTTGAACATGCTAGTAATCATGAACCAGATATAACATGTTGCTTCAAAACAAAAGTCCGAGAATGTATCTCTAGCACCTAGCACTGTCTCTAGCACAGACTAAGGGCTGAATAAATGAATTTAGGACAAATGACTGGAAAGAATTATGAAATGCCTTTTATGAAGTGGCACTTGAGTTTGAAAATAGAGATTCGGAGCTTACAGTCATGATAGGACGGAGCATTCCCAGATCACAAGTATGCAGAGCTCAGGATGGCAGTGTAAGGAGCCTAGTCAGTCCCCCATTCCCTCAAGTGCACGATGCTTACCTTTCCTGCCCAGGGAGTTTGCCCCTCAGGTTGTCATACATGCTACAGATTTTGTGCTTTCTTTCATCCATCAGGGCGGGCCGCTCTTCTTCCAGGCTCAGAAGATAGCGCCTTTCATAATCCTCCACATCAAGAAGTAAACTATAGGTCTAAGGAAGAGACAGAACAGGCCACAGCATGCTAGGTCAGGAGTAGGCCTAGAGTAGTAGATAAACACTTCATAGTTTAAGACTACCCAGTAAAGATAAGCTCAAACAAAACTTTAAAAACAAAACAAAAAACAGGTACTCTTCAAAATGCAGGAAACCATGGGGAAATAACAATCCTTCAAACATCATTCTTTGTCCCTCTCTGACCCCTAACCTAGTACTATACGTTAGATATTAATTATGCTTTGCAAATTTTCCAACAGCAGCATTAGACTACAACAGTGTTTTGGTAAGTGTGTGCACATGTGTGCTTATGTGTGCAGAGGTCAGAGGTTGACTGTCAATTGTTTTCCTCAATCATTCTCCAACCTTCTATTGAGGCAGTGTCTCTCACCTCAACTTGCCAATTTGGCTCAACTGGCCAGCCAGTCTGCTCCAGGGATCGTGTGTCTTTCCCGAGCACTGGGATTATGGGTGGGCTGCCATACCTGCCTGGCATTTAAGCAGGTGCTGACGATCAAAATTCTGGTACTCACGCTTCTGTAACAAACTATTTTATTATATTCCCCAGCCCTGGTTTTTGTTAGTTTAAAAAATAAATTTTATTGTTTTTATTTTATGTGCATGAGTATATTGCCTATATGCATGTAAATGCACTTGTGTCCTGCAATGCCCACAGAGGTCAGAAGAGGGCATTGGATTCCCCTGAACTGCAGTTATGAATAGTTGTTAGCTGCCATGTGGATGCTGGGAATTGAACATGGTGTTCTTAACTGCTGAGCCATCTCTCCAGCCCCACTGTTATTTTTTTAAAAATTGTTTTGTTACTGTTTTTGAGACAGAGTCTGACTTTGTAGCCCTGGCTTGCCTCATACTGACAGAGATCCATCTGCCTTTGCCTCCTGAGTGCTGGCATTAAAGGCACGAGCCACTACACCTGGGTGATAATTTTTTCTTTATCTGATAAACATTTACTTTACTACTGGTATTGGACAGTACTCTAAGCACTTCACTGGCATTCAACTCATGGAAAACTCAACAAAACCCAAAGACAAAACTACTAAAACCAGTTCTGTGAAGAAACTGAGGACAGCACACAAAGGTTAAATAACTCAGCCCCAGATTACAGACTTGGAAAAGAGATGATATACAGCCTGGAGGGTCTGTGCTCTCCACTACTACACTATATGGTCTTGCAACATGGTATATATATTTTACAGACCAATAGTCCAAGTGTAATCTCTGGAACCCATGTGGAAAGGGGAGAATTGACTCCTTCCTTCGAGCTATCTTCTGACCTCTACATGTGTGCATGTACACACTCAACACACATGGTAAGTTTATGTTTAAAAAAAGGGGACCTACTCAAAGATAATCAGCTATTAATTGAACAACTATGAAGAAAAGCCCCAGGACTTTCAACTCTTAATTGTAGTGTTCTTTCACAATGATTTCTAGAGTGTTCTGATAAGCAACAGGCACTTAGTATGAGTAGATTCTGAATAAAAATCAAAGAACACAGGTCAGAGAGGTGACTCAGGTGAAGGTGTCTGCCATCAAGCCTAACAACCTGAGTTTGACTCCTAACATGGTGGAAGAAACCCACTCCTACAAGTTGTCATCTGACCTCCACACACACACCATGGCATGCATACCCTTCCCAGATATATAAAATACTAAAAAAAAAAAAAAAATCAACACTAATTCACTGCTCACTCTTCTACTTCTTGGGCAAACATGTATTTGATAGTTCCTTATCTGAGATCACAGTCACAATTCTAAAACTTACTTTCTCAATTATGACAAGAGTTTTTCTTCTCTTGTCCCGAACTTGTTTTTCTTTTGTTTCCTAAAAGAAGACAAGACTATTTAGTACAAATTCTTTACCTCTACTAAGAACAATTTACCAGGTACGCATCTGCAGATACACTGGTGAAAAGACTTGAGAATCCTGACTCCTTAAAACTAACACTCTAAAATAACACCAATATAAAACAAAGGTCATAGATTCAATCAACTTACACACAAATTATACTAAACTAACATAGGTAATAGGAAAATCTGAAAACAAGGAAATATTGTTTTAAATAATAAACTGGAGTAAGCTGATACTGCCTGGAGCCACAGGTACCAGGTCTAAAGATTCCTGCTCAGGCCTTGACTGGCTGCCTTAAAATGAAGGCAATAGGGTCAGCGAAATGGTTCAGTGTAAAAAGTACTCACTACAAGGGCCTTACAACTTGATTTTGATTCCTTGAGCCATAATCTCCACATGTGCACTGTGGCATGTATGCTCACACACAAATAGGAAATAGGGGGCTGGAGAGATGGTTCAGCGGTTAAGAACACTGGTTGTTCTTGTAGAAGACCTGGGTTCGAATCCTAGCACCCACATGGCAGCTAGCAACTGTCTGTAACTCTGGTTCCAGGGGATCCAACAGCCTCTTCGGTCCTCCGCGGGCACTGCACAACATGGGTGCACTTACCTACATGCAGGCAATACACGCATACACATAAAATAAAAAATAAAAAAAAATTAAAAAATAAATGAAGGCATTACATATTAACATGTGTGCAAAAAACCAGACAGCCATGGCACACTAGGGCAGAAGCTCCAGGAAGATTACAGACAACTCTACCATGTCTCAGCTCACTACAGTGACCCCAAGGGAACTGGTGATGCCCCACAAGTTCAAAGTACACAATTCTGCTGAGACTTACATCATCCTCACTCCGAGATGTCACAACAGCATCGATCATTTTCCGAGGATTATTCACACTAGAGACAGTAAGCTTCCCCAAAGAGCCTTCGAACTGCACTACAAGGACAAACAAACAAACACCCTCCAATAAAATACTGAGGAATGCAGCAGGCAGCATTCAGAGAGCTGGACTTCAGCTCTTTTCATGTTTAAATAATTACTACAAAAATTATGCATTACTTAACACAGTTCCTACTTTTTCTTTTATTTACTACTAATAATCTTTAAAGGTAGATCTCCTTATCTCAGGCTGGCTCTAACTCATAGTCCTTCTGCCTCATCTCCTGGCTATTCAGTTTACAGGTGTGAACCATCACACCCAGACAAAACACAGTAAATATTTACCACCATGCAGACTTTTCTTTTTTTGAGATAGGGTCTCACTATGTAGCCCTGGCTGGGCCTGGAACTCACTAGACCAGTCTGGCCTTGAACTCACAGAGATCTGCCTGCCTCTACCTTCCAAGGGCTGGGATTAAAAATGTGCACCACTGCCAGGTGTGGTGCAGCACAACTTTAGTCCCCGCACTCCTTGAATTCATAAAAATAAAGTCGTTAGTATTAAAGTCTTAATTATAAAGATAAGTGTAAAGAGTTCTGGAGAGACAGAGGCAGACAGATTTCTGTGAGTTCAAGGACAGCCTGGTCTACATAGTGAGTTTCAGGACAGCTGGGGCTACAGGGAGACCCTGCCTCAAAAAGACCAAAAAAAAAAAAAAAAAAATTGTATGTACCACCACACCTGGCCCATCACCATCCAGATTTAATGAAAAACAATTTAGGCAAATTTACTTGACTTTTAAAAAGTGCTATTAAAGTAATACAGCCAGTCGTGGTGGCACAAGGCTATATTTCCCAGCACTCGAGACTGATTCAGAATTGTGGGTTTGAGGCCAGCCTCGGATATATAGTGCATTCTAAGCCAGTCTGAATGAGATCCTGCCTCAAAAAAAAAACCCAAAAGCAGTACTAGTTACAGTTGAAGGCCTTCTTAAAGATGTATTTTGTAATCTATCATTTCACTTTCTCTTCCTGTTAAAATTATCAAAAGAAAAACTATTTCTCCTTTATCTACTTTAGGAGCACTAAAAATCATATAAGCTTTTAAAAATTTATGGAATCAAAAGGATCTAAGAGTTCACCTGTCGCACCATTTTATCTGTCCAGATATAGCTATCTAAACTTCATCACAACAGTAGCATCTCAAATTTCTCACACTCTGGGCTGAGCCCTTACCAGGCTTATAGGCATGCTCCAGCCTGGCCACCTGAGGGGTGATGAGCTTGGTGCGCTCCTTCTTAGGGCCATCGCCTGGCATGTCTTCAGCAGCTGACAGTTTCTCCAGTTTTTCAAAGTAATTCTACCACAAGAGAAGATGATATCAGTTGCAAAACAAGCACACACTATGACTGTCCTTTACCATTAAGTAATTGTACCAGTGGCAAATAAAACAACCTGAATTCCAGAAATGTACTGATCTTCAACTTTTTTTCAGATTGCTATAAATTTACTTTATTAAAAAATTCTTCTTTGCTGGGCATGGTGGCGCACACCTTTAATCCCAGCACTCGGGAGGCAGAGGCAGGCAGATTGTGTTCAAGGCTAGCCTGGTTTATATAGTGAGTTCCAGGCCAGCTGGGGCTACAGGAAGACCCTGTCTCAAAAAGATAAAACAAAAAGAAACTCTTCTTTGGGATAAAGGTGTATCTCAATGGTAGAGTGTGTGCATAGCATATTCAAGGCCAAGTTCAATGCCCAGCACCACAAATCTCTTGACATAAATGCACACACAAAATCCTCCAAATCCTTTAGCCTTCAAAAATATTAACTGGTCCAATAAAGTGGCTCAGTGGGCAAAGGCACTTGTCAACATGCCTTACAATCCAAATTCAATCTCTGGGACTGACATGGTAGGAGGAGAGAACCAACTTCCTTTGAGTTCAACATATGTGATAGGGCAGTAACCTCCCACACAAAATAAATGGTAAAAAAAAAGTATTTAAAAAATATTAATCAAGCTGGGCATGGTGGTACACATACACACACCTTTAATCACAGCACTCGGGAGACAGAGGCAGGCAGATATCTGGAGTTAGGGGCCCACCTGTTGCACAGAGCAAGTTTCAGGCCAGCTGTGGCTACAGAGACATTGTCTCAAAAACAAAAACCCAAACAACAACATTAATAATGATGTCTTTGAAGTTAGATTGTCAATCTTCTTTTCTTTTTGTGGTGGTGGTACTAGGGATTGAATCCAGGGACGTGCACATTCTAGGCAAGCACTCTACCACTGAGCTACATACTCAGCCCCATACCGTCACTACTTTTAATCGAAAGAACCAGATTATTGATGCCAAAGGAAATGAAAATATCATTCTGAGGTTATAAAGACAGTCTCTAGTATGAAAAAAGGATAGAATCTGCTCAATTTTCACCCATTTGAAGATATTTCAAAAGAAAATTCTCAGCCCCCAGTATTAATTTTACCAGTATTTAAATGAATACCCTTACTAGCATTAAGGTACCAAACTGTTATCCTCAAACTAGTACTGGATACTTACCTGGTAATAAAAATCATCCAGGTAGGGATCAGTGCTCTGCAGTTGCATCATCTGGATTTTAGAGACCCAATCCTTTTCCCGCTGCAGCATGAGATTAGCATATGGATCCTTTCGAAGATGATCTTGGTGACTGGTCCGGTGACTTCCTCTATCTCCAGCACCATTGAGATTCCTATGCTGACTGAAGAGCAAACACAGGCCACATTCATACCAAATGCAGCACAATAGTTATGCCTTTGTGCAATACAGGAATAACACAGGCCTGCTCAAAACATTCCCCTTTGCTTTTGTTAAGGAGTAAAGCAGAACCAAGTCTTAAATGCACCAAAAAGAGCTGTGTAATACACAAGGACATATAACTAAAACCTCAGTACCTTATATGATTTTAAACATGCATGAACTTTTGTATAAGCTCTAACCCTGCATGGCAGGTAATTTCTTTTTTCCATTTAAGGCAATAAACTGAGGCAAGGGGAGGTCAAAGCTATTTACCTAGTGCCGAGTAATATTTGATTACAGGCCATTTAACCCTGAAGTCGGTATCATTTTCCACTGAAAATCTTGAAGAATTTCAAATGCAGATAAAAGATACAGCAAACACTACAATAAATATTTACCCACTATCCAGATTTAATGAAAAAAATTTGGGTAGATTAACTTTGAAAAAGTACTATATTGAAGTAATATGGCCAGCTGTAGTCCACACCTATAAAGATTTATTTAAAAATTAAAAAAAAATTATTTTCCTTTCCTTCCTTCCTTTTCCTTCCTTATTTATTTTTGGTCTTTTTGAGACAGGGTTTCCCTGTAGCCTCAGCTGGCCTGGAACTCGCTATGTAGACTAGGCTGGCCTTGAACTCAAGAGATCTTCCTGTCTCTGCCTCCCAAGTGCTGGGATTAAAGGGGTGCACCACCACAACCGGCTTCTTTATTTTTAAGTGTATGAGTGTTTTGCCTATATGAAAATGTACTTGTGTGTGCAGTATCTACAGAGACCAGAAGAGGGTGTCAGATCCCCTAGAACTGGCTGATGGAACAGCTTTTAGCAGCAATGTGGGTGCTGAGAATCAAACCCAGGTCTTCTATAAGAGCACCCAATGCTCTTAACTACCAAGCTGTCTCTCCAGACCACCACTAAGTTTTAAAAAAAATCTGTGTGTGTGTGCATGCATGTGCACATGCCTGTGTGTGCAGGTGCCTGCAGAGGCCAGAAGAGGGTGCTGGATCCCTTGAAGATGGAGTCACAGGCAGTTTGTGAGTTACCCAACGTGGGTGCTGGGAGATGAACTGTTTCTCTGGAAGAGCAGCAAGTGCTCTTAACTCCAGCCTCGAAGGCCCTCTTGCACCCGTAGAGCTGTTTACAACTTCCTTTTCTCCCCCCTTTTTTCATTATTATTTTTATTTTATGTGTATGAGTGTATTACCTGCATGTATGTGAGTGTACTTGTGTGGTGCAATGCTGCGGAGGTCAGAAGAGGGCATTGGATTCCCCTGGAATTGGAGTTAAGGTTGGTTCATAGCCATCATGTGGGTGTTGGGAATCAAACCCAGGTCCTCTGCAAGAGCAGTCAGTGCTCTCAACCACTGAGCCATCTCTCCAGCCCCTATAGCTTCCTTTTAATAGAACCACCATGCTGCCTTCAGTTTCTGAGTTCTCCCCTACATGTCCATATCTTTATTACTTGTGTATCTGTCTTTCAATATTAAACAGTATCTTTCTGTATGCTTTGAGTAATACATAAGGCATATTCTACTTGCTTCTTCAATCAATATCACATTCTTATTATTCATATCACAAATACACCCTGGCACACACTGAAAAGTGGAACTTCGAGGATGTGGCACATTCGTATTTCTACCTTATTATCTCCTGCTTAGGTCTCTCCTCAACAATCAAGAAGATGCTCCACAGAGATGGCCACAAGGAGCTCTGCATTCAATCCTTACCCAAAATGATAGTCCTGAGGTACTTCAAGCTTTGCTTGTACGATATGTTAAATGACTGTCTCATTTTAATCTTCATTTTCTGAAGTGAGTGGGCTGGGGCGTCTATTCATTTTTAGGAGTCAGCTGAATTTCTTCTATTGAGAATTGACTATTTGGGAATGTTTTTGTTATGCAGTGTTTTAATTCTTTTTTTTTTCTTTTTAAGTCTCTGCCTTCCAGGTGGGAGGGTTATAAGCATGTGCCACTACACCTGGGAAGGCTTAACATTTAATACAATCAAATGTATTAATCTTTCCTTATATAGTTAGTACTTTCTGGGTCTTGTATACAAGTCTATATTGGTCTCTCTTCTCTCCCCTGCCAAAAAAATATTCTAGAACATTTTTGAAAATGAGAAGGAATTATATACACAGAACAAAAACCAAAGAATTTTCAGCTATGTTTAGTTTCCTTAATTTATCTAGGCACATAATTATAGAAAGACTTTATAGACTCATGAAGACAGAAGCTTTGTCTATCCTGCTTTTCTTTAATCTTCAAAAACTCACCACAGTCTTGGCACATAGCTATGTAAATATTTATGTAGTATTTTATATGTAAGTATCAAGAACATTTACATCTGAACAATGGTTAAATAATTTGAGGAAAAAAGGAATGATCATTGGGCTCATATAACACACAAATGTAGGGCTGGCCACTATGTTTTAAGATGATTTTTGGGGGACTAGAGAGATGGCTCAGTGCTTAATAGCACTGACTGCTTTTGCAGAGGACCCAGGTACAGTTCCTAGCACCCACCTGGCAGCTAACAACTGTCCCTAACTCCAGTTTCAGGGAATCTGATACCCTCCTCTGGCCACCATGGGCACTGTACACAGGTGGTGTACTTATATACATACAGGCAAAACACTCATACACATAAAATGCAAATAAAAAAAAAATCTTAAAAAAATTATTTCTGAACTGCAAAGAAAAAAGAAAGGCACTTAAGAGGATGGTTATGAATTTGGTAAGGAATAGAACTGTTGGCTAAAAAAACAGAAACAATCAGAGCTCAATTTTAATTCTGATTTATGACCAACTTAGGGGGCCAAGGGTTCACTGAGAAAAAAAATCTTACCAATTGGGCCAATGAGATGTTACAGTGGATAAAGGTGCCTGCCACCAAACTCTGATAACCTGAGTCCAAACCTTGGGACCCACATGCTGGAAGGAGAGAACTGACTTCCCATATGTTGTTCCCTGACCTCCACATGTACACTATGGCACACATATGCATGATATAAGTAAATGTAACAGAGAAATGTTATTTAAAGTTAGTATACAAGAATTTTGTCTTTTAAGTTAGTGTATCAAAAACATAAAATGAGGGGCTGGAGAGATGGTTCAGCAGTTAAAAATACTGGTTGTTCTTGCAAAAGACCTGGTTCGAATCCCAGCACCCACATGGCAGCTAACAACTGTCTGTAACTCCAGTTCCAGGGAATCTGATAGCCTCTTCTGACCTCTGTGGGCACTGCATGGCAGAGGTGCACTTACCTACATGCAGGCAATACATGCAT